GCAGAAATGGCTGCAGCGAGCTTCAGAGTCAGAGGAGTCTGGAATCCAAGCCAAGCACGGGAGGATTGTTTTCAAAACCTGAAGAGGAAGGTCTGGCTTGTTTATTATTTTTGTCAGTTCTGCAAAAACAGCTGACATTTCTCTGCTGACCGCCACTCACCTGCCTCTGGTCCCTGCTGTGCGCGAGGCCAGCGTGCTGTCTGCGCTGGCAGAGGAGTGAGGGTGCTTTTGTTCCTTGGGCTTTTTTGAGGGGGCGGGGTATTACATTTGATACCTGTTATAAAATTGAGTGTGTTCCCCAGCAACACTTGTTAGCGTTTCTTTTGGGGGAAGAAGACTTTCTCCTCACTGATGGGTAAACATGTGTCCAGCTGCCCTTTTTCCCCCAAAAAAATCATTATTGAAATTGGCAGAGTATTACTCTTCAGAAAGAATTTCTCATATTGTAGTGTGAATATTTTTTATGGGGAGCTCATTTTTCCATAGCCCAGGGGGCTTCCCATTATGTAGTGTGCAAGATAAATGAGAACTACACCTGTGTGTGTGTTTACGCATGTGTGCTAGAATTGAGTGCAGGTGAATTTTCGAGGCAAGAGGAACTGTTGTCAGCCAGCATGCGCCATTAGGGGAAATAGGGCTGATATTTCAGCAGTTTTCTTTTTTGCAGTAAAATGATGGTAGTTACCATTAAATTGAGCTTTATAGGTGTTCCCATATGCCTCCCTCATTTGACCCCCTTCATCATGAAGACTGAGCAGAACCCCCCCCCCCAGTCCCTTACCCCCCTTTCGTGGAGTTGGACGTTATCAGTGTATGCTGAGTGAGTGCCCAGTGCCCCTTGCCTAACTGCTGCTTTTCATTTTTAGGCACCAAATGGGAATGTTTTTGAAGGGAGTACAACTTTAAATCAAGCGTTTCAGCCTTGGCTACGGCATGGGCATGGAGGATGGAGAGCATTTATTCTTAAGAGTCCACTAACTGAGTTGGGTCTGGATTTGAATTGATTTCCTTCCTGGGTGGTGTGGCTCTCAGCAGTCCATCCGTTTGTGTGCTGATGGTGTGTGCACTCATGTTTTTGGTTTGTAAGCACCTTCACTTGTCAGCAGAGCAGTTGGGCATCAGAAATGACACCGTGCGTGGTACCTGTGACACACACTTTTGTCACCAAAAAGAAATTTCCTTTTCTGTGATAAGTACAAAATTTCAAATGCCTTTCGGACCAGGAGCCTTCAAATGCTCCCCGATCTCATGGAGTTCCTTACGGTAGCCTTGCCCTTTACTCTGCTTCTGTGTTTCTGTCTGAGATAGCTGAAGGTCGTCAGCCTTTTGACAAGTCTTCACTGCACAGCACGCAGGCCAGGAGGCACGATCTGGCCGAGGTGCTCTGTTTAGGGAACAGGCACCTCTCCTCTGTGTTCTCATCATTTCCAGCCATTTTAGTTCCTCAGTCTTCAGTGGATTCTGTGCCCCTAAGAGAAGGATTCTGGCAGTAGCAGGGAAGCTGAGCTTGACCTTCAACGGGACAGCTAACCCAGCTGGAGGGCACTCTGTCTGGGCTTTTTCTGTCATTCCCACTGCCTTAGGTGATGGACCTTCCTCTCTCACACATTCAGGGGCTGAGTGTGTGGTGAGGATTTTTTCCCTAAGCTGCTAATTGTCCAGTTTTCATGTGGAGTGAGAGTCCCCAAGCCAGAGTGTTTATCATATGCAAACTGGAATGCAAAAAGAAAAATTTAAGAGTTGATGAAAAACAACTCTTATCCCTGAGATAAGCAGGTTAATAGTATATAATGTCAATATTTTGGCTGCAGACCATTATCTTGCTATTGATCCAGAAGAAATATGGTATTGACTCAGTAGCTTCATTTACTTTTTGCTGGCATTGTTGCTCTAGGTGTTCCTTCTCCTTTTAAAATAGCAGCATCTGGCTTCTTTTTACGGCCAGTTCCTGTCCAGTCAGAGAAAGACGGTCAAGTTTTAGAAAAAGAAAGAGCAATTGGAGTCCTGTATTTCAGATGCTAAACCATGTCACTCTTTGTTCTGAGGTTCATGTCATTGATCCTTCGCACTTATCTCCTATCTGTCCTGCTTAGAACTTTCCCTGGTCATGTTTTTGAATGCTCTCGTTAGCACATTATAAGGCTCATTCTGTTTCTTGTAATATGTGTAGGATTTATACTGTGACACTGTCTGCTGACGGTGTTTCCTGGGCTGCATTTGCCAGGAGAGAAACCCCACAGAATCGTTTTTGCTAAGCAGTGACGGAGACACTCAGCGACAACTGAAAGAGGAGGAACTGAAATAAAAAGCAGAGCTGAGGTGGTTCTGTGGGGATGTGACTACAGAGCCGGTTTTCACAATCAGAGGCCGTTTGGCACTGTTGTCCCCGTGAAATGGGCTTGAAAGGCAGGAGCTGTTCATTCTGAGCGTCTCACAGATTGCTGGGTGGCTCAGTGAAGAGGCCGGAGGAGGGAGGAAGCCAGATCCTCTCCTTGAGTTTATGCTCCTGGGAGGGTGGGGCGAATGGGGGCACCCGATGGCCAGCAGGAGCATATGTGCATCGTCTTAGTGACGCAGCTGCCGTGGGGCCGTCCCTAACAAAGCTCTTGAGCTGGCGGGTCAGATCTTCTCATTTGTTTTAAAAAGAGAAAGAAGGAACCCTCGGTATCTTTACATTGAGTTTGGATCCAGAGCAGGAGGGAGGTAGGAAGTGAGAGGGATTTAGGCAAGCAGGATTTTCTCCCAGGCTTCTCAGCATGTGGACACACAGATCAATTTCTTATCCTGCGTTCAGCTGGACTCTGGGTTAGAGACTGTGCTGATCAAGACGTCCCCTCCTGTTTCATATCATATAACGCATTCATTTCAGCCACTGAGCCTAAATTACTATTTGCTTTCTTTCTGCCTTTCTTTTTTTCCCCTTGAAATGGTAAGAACTTGTGTAAGGATGAAGTTAGTTTATCCGTGCTAATGCTTTGATTTTTCTTTTCTCTTTCTCTTTGCCACAGTAGGTAACCAGTTAGGGGCCTTGGTACATCAAAGGTAAGCAGTGGGTTATGTTTTATTATTTATTGATCATTTCTAATTGTTTATTGATCCACCATCTGTACTAGAGTGTTAGAAAGTCAGAGGTTGAGAGTGTGGAAAACCATGGGCTAATCTTTAAAACTTAAGTTTTTGTAGCCCTTTTTAAGCTCAAAGGATAAACTAACACAGCGTATTAAAGATCAGCCGTTAGTGCATGTAAACTTAAAAGACTTCTAGAATGTTGGATGTTCGTTCTGCTCACATGCATTTCATTTAAAATGAGACAATGACATTCCCCTCTTGTTCTCACGTTTTTCTCGGTGTTTTATGAACCCTTAACCTCTTCACTTCAGAAAACAGGTCCTTTTCCAAGTGAAGGTACAGCTTTTGGTCCTCAAGGAATCAGGAGCCTGGGAGGCCAGGAACCTAGTGGCCCCCCCCACCCCCCGCACCCTGCCATAGTCATAGGGACTTGCCGGAGAACCTTGGATAAGTACCCAGTTGATCCCTGCCTCAGTTGCCTCTCACAGCCTTCCCTTAAACATTGAGGATTAGAAAAATGAAAAGACCTCTGGGCTCCAAAAAGATCAGTCTATAAGGTAGGGTATTGTGGTCACATTGTTACCCTTTAAAAAGGATAAAGTGTGCTGGAAACTGTGCCTTAGCTTCTTGTAATGGATGAAATTGTGTGTTTTGTACCCGTCACTGTAGCATATCCTTAACCTCCCCAGCAAGGATAGTTATGTCCTCTTGTATGCTACACAGTTCTTAGGGAGTTTCTAGAAATCACCAGGCATCAGGTAATCAGAAGATTTATCCTGGGTTTTTTGTTGTTTCCTTGTTTGCTTTGTTTTTTAATGAATTAAGTAATTTAAATAAAGTTGTTAGTATCAAATGTAACTTTCCTATAAGACCTTAATTAATCAGGATTTTACTTTCCAAAATGATAATACTTTGTGCATTAGGCAGGTTTCAGCCTTGCATTTAAAGTAGAGCTTTGTCTTGCTAGAGACCCAGAGCAGTTCACCTTGCTATGTTTCCTCCTCAGTGAGAGGCTGCTAAGATTGTTCCCGGGGGCTGGGCTTTGTGGCATTTTGTCTTGTGACAGTGTTGAACCTCTTCTAGTAAATTCCCCAGTATTGTTTTTGAGAATAGATAGTTTGTGCTACACACGTGAGCTACGCAGACAGGAACACTGCGGCCTTTCACCTGGAACAGGGACCCTTGCAGGATGTTAGGCCCGCAAAGGTTTAGCACCAGCATCCACAGAGTTACTGGTTAGGAAGCCCAGGCTTGCCTGATTTCGGGGTGAACTGAAGATCCCAAGAGGCAGAGAGAATCTCTGGGCATATATAAACCTGAGGATGTAAACTCCACGAGGAAAAGACAGTTTGCTCTCATCATGATGGTACAGTGACAAGTGCTATTTATGCTATTGCATTTCTTCTAAGTGCTGCACTTTCCCTAAAAACATGCACTTTATTCAATTCTTTCCATGATGGGTAAAAATCCAGCTGTGTGCGAGATGTTTAAAAATGCTTATCTTTTTTTAAAAAAAAAACTACTTGCATTTAGCTTCCTCCTAAGATAAATGTTTAGATTTAATTGCTTCCCGGGGTGTTGGGCAAATTGGATATTGTCCACAATACTCTATATGGCAAATTTGACGGTTTGTTTGAAAGAGCCAGTGCAATAGTTGTTTAAAAAAAAAAAAAAGCAAGCAGATAATGGAGGGGATAGCATTTAACAGGAGTACTTTGCAGAGTAACAGGTCATTATTCTGTCCTGGTCAACACTGATTAGGCCTCCGCTGGATACTGGCTCCATTTGGGGCGTCTCACCCTAAAAGAAAAATTAGAGGGAGGCCAGAAAGCAACACAAAGATAGGGAAACGGGTGCTGAGGAAAAGCTGGGTATTTCTCCATCTGGAAAGGACACCAACAAGAAGTCTAAGTTCCCCCCACTTCCCAAAGGACCTTGAAGGGTCCTGGCCTTGATGACCTTTCAGCGCTGAGCCCCACGCCTGGACACTGTCGCTGTATGAAGAAAAGGCAGTGTGAGAGGAGTGGATGGTTTTAATGAACGCCCAGAGGTTTCTTCTGCTGGCACAAGGTGATGGAAGCTTGGATCTTTTTTCTTTTCTTTTTTTTGAGAGAGAGAGAAACATGGATTTGTTGTCCCACTTATTCATGCATTCATTGGTTGGTTCTTGTCTGCACCCGCACTGGGGATCGAACCCACAACCTTGGCATTTCGGGATGATACTCTAACCAACTGAGCTGCCCGGCCAGGGCGAGGCTTGATCTTTTCAAAGAGGGATTGACCAAGAGATTCATCAGATGGCGCCCCTCGTAGATGGGTATGGACCTGTTGGCCAAGTTGGCACGATTTCTTTAAGCCTTATCTTCCAGCATGGTCAGCATGGGAAGTTTGGGGAACCTAAAGTGGCTTCAGAATTCTTCTATACAGTTTTCCAAAATGTTCTTTGTTTTAGGGCAGTAATAACAGAAGAATTCAAAGTGCCTGATAAAATGGTTGGATTCAGTAAGTATCCACATGTCGCACTTTCCCCCTAATCCTGTCTGTCCCTTTTATTTCCCTCCCCCTCTCAGCATAAGCATCACCTTTAGTAGAATGCTTTTGCACACTGTTTTCCAGTTCCCTAGCGCTGCAGGCCTCTGTCCAGGCGGAGGTCACCCTGCACTCTCCCACCACCCCACTCTCCTTCCTCAAGCTCGGGCACCCTCTGTCTGCTGTGTTCCCCATTTGGTTGCTGTGGGCTTGCTGAAGCAGCCTGATTTGCCTAGCTGTGAGCCATGTGTGAATGTTGGTTGAAGTAAGTCATCCATGCATGGTTAAATATGGATGGGGGGCATATTCTGACCCTGTTCAATTTGTTTCAGTTATTGGCAGGGGAGGTGAGCAGATTTCACGGATTCAAACAGAATCTGGTTGCAAAATTCAGATTGCTTCAGGTAAGGGCTGCTTTTATCATAGATCTCAGTTTGGTAGAAATGAGTATTATGCAAAGTTTTCCAGGTTCAGTACTTTGCTTGTTGCTAGAAGTGTAGGAACCTGGGTAAGTATATGTGATTGCTGCTTTCCTTGCACTTCTGGAGCTGGACTCCCAGGAGGGAACCAGAGCAGAAGCAGGCTCGGAGGCGAGGCTGCCCCTCTGACCTCGTTGGAGACCCTCCATAGTTCTGTGGCCTGGCGTGGCCCCTCCCAAACACCCACCACTCTAGGACCTCTGTTTTCTGCACCAGAATGTTATGCCAGACACAGTGGGGCCTGCAGGGGGCCTGTGGCTTTGGGGTCACTCCTGGGGATTGCTCACCGGCTCCCCTGGCTCACGCCGTCCCTGCCCTTTGTGGAAAGAGGCACTGGCGGCTCTGGCTGAATTAGCACATGTTGAACACAGTTGAGGACCTTTCCCAGCTGGGTCCGTCTTGACTGCATTATGGAGAGAGGCAGATTGAGAAGAAGAGCTTTATTTATCGTTTTATCTAATTTGAGTTTCATCTCTTTCCATAGTGAAGGAGGGCATTTAAAGGACATTTGACTAGAGAAATGTTTGTCATTTTAAAGGATAATGTCTTGAAGGCAGTAACTGGTGTTAGCTATTTCTCTCTTTTTTGAGTAAAAATGTTAAGAGGCAGTGTTTTTAGGAACAAAGTAACGTGTCATGTGTGGTGTCGGAAAGTAAGACTTCCCTTTCTTGTCAAATGGCCCAGAACCAGTTCTACATCGATGTCACTGATCAGGATATCACACAGTAACTGGCAGTAGTCCAATGTGCATACCATGACATTTCTTTTTTTTCCCCTTTGGTGGCAGCGGTGGGATACGAGCCCATGACATTTCTTACTATTGTGCCTCAGAGCTGTTTGCAAATAATCACCAGTAAACTACTCTGCAAATAGAGAAACTGGGGAATAGCGGGTTAAGTGACTCACACATTTACTAGCACACAGTGGGTCAGAAGTGAAGTTGAAGCTGGGAATTAGGATCAGCTCACAAACTTCTGCTGCATTCTCCCACATTCCCCTAGGGACTCGTTTCTACTTTGAGAATCTTAGGGTACAGCTACCAGTTAACATTCTGTCCACAAGCAGAAGCAAACTGTCTTTTTCTGGGAGCCTGGGCTTCTGTGGGGCCGGTGTAGGCACCAGCCCAGAGACCGCCTTACACAGAGGCAAGGTGCATGGTTGCCTGATGCCCACCAACACACCTCGTCTTCTTGATTCTTCTTATAGAGAGTTCTGGGATTCCAGAGAGGCCCTGTGTACTTACCGGAACCCCAGAAAGTATTGAGTAAGTTTATTTTATTTACTTTCTCCTTTCACTCTTCTTCCTCCTTCCCCAAACGGGGAGAAATGGAAGGGCAAACTGTTATTGAACACTTTCGATCTGTGCTACAGTCTGGCCACAAAAGCAGGTGCTTCTGTAGAGAAGGATCTAGGAGGCTGCCACACCAGGGGAGTTTTTCTGTGACCTAAACACACACGGTATCACCTTTTTAAAAACCCTGCAGAATCCTCACAGCTGTCATAACACCTACTTCATACACCGGGTTCTAAAGAGTGTGCCTCCACCCGCCTGACTGCTCTAATCACCCCACTTTTTCCTCATAATACCTCCTTTACCTGAACAGGTGTGGAGTAGCGAGCCTCTCACTTGGTGAGCCTTTGGGCATCCTGGTGCCAGGTCCTCTACCTGAGTGTGACCCCATTGCTCTTCTGATACTTGTGAGCCCAGTGAATTGACTTCCTGGCCATTGCTCCACTCAGAGGGCCACATGGACCGGCCAGGGCGTGTTCCGGCTTTTGGGGCCCTTGTGACCGCCTGAAATCTAGCGTTGCATTCCTGCGTGGTGGAGCCTCGTACCAGGTGGAGGCCTCATAAACCCAAGAGCCTCCTGGGGAGAGGGATGTACTAACTTCGCTTCTGCTCACTTTCCTCTTTCAGTCCGTTGAGCAGCATTGCATTTGGGGGTAGGGGCGCTGAGATTATGTCCAGCTCAATAGGTAGGGCTCTTTTCTTGTTTCCATTTCTCAGGGAGTCGAGATGAGTTTAAACTCTCGTGTTTTGCTGTAACAGTGCAAGCAGTGGGCCAGAATAAATCAGACTGGCAGGTGTGCATTACAGGGCAAGCGAGATGGTTTCTGGTGTCCAGGCACTTTGCTTCCGGCACAGGTTAATCTCGTACACAAGCGAAATATTAAGAAGCTGCAGTAACTGGGAAGACACACGAGGCCGATTCTGCACACAAAGACTCAAGACCACAAAGGGCAACAGCTATTTCCTGCCTTTTCTTCTTTCCTCCCACTCTTCTAGTCCTGCTTCCTGTCCTGCCCAGGCAGTGGAGACCACGGATTATAACTTAAGGAAGAAACAATTTTGCTTTTTTCGGTGCACAGTCCAGCCAGTCTGTTTAGTAGCAGAAATGTTTCCTATTAGAGGAACCAAAAAATAGATTGTGCTGGTGATTTGAAGAATAAATAATGCACGTAACAGCCAGGGGAGATTCTGGTGCAGAAAAGGAAATTGGCCTGACAGATGACCTCCTTAGGCTGAGATGTGCTGTTTCAACATTGTAGCTTTCCTCCACCTCCTGATAAATCAGCACAAAATAGCAGTGCATATGAGATGCGGGGCCGCACATCCAACGGGAAAAGCGCAAAGCAGGTGTGTGTGGCTGTGGAACTGCGCCAGGGCACCACCGCCTCCTGTTTCCTCCCGTGAAACCCACCTGGTGATGCGTAGCCTTAAAATCGGCTCAGAAATCAGGGCAGTCTGGTTGGTGATGGAGAAATTTGGCATTTGGGCATTCAAATGACTACTAACCCTTGCTTTCTTTCTTCCCATCTTTCTCATTTCTTTCTCTCGTGTCCTTACTTAACAAATATCGGTTGAGTGTATACGCTCTGGATTAGGGAACAGCGAGATGCAGAGGGTTCGGCGGTGGTCCCTGCCACCGGTGCAGCGGACACTCCAACAGGAGAAGAGTCGTGGTGGTGGAGTGAATGCCAGGCCCAGGCACAAGCAGAGCGCACACTTGAAGGGGGCCGTGTCGGGACGTGGTATTGTGTGCATTGTTTTTAAATTCCAGCCCAGTAGCTTGGCGGATGGCAGAGACTTCCCGGGCTGTGGGGGCAGGAGCTGGAGCTGGACGAGGGCTGCCTTGACTCCTGCGTGTGCTCCCCGGGGCAGCGTTCGCTGAATGCCACTGTCCTTGTGGTTCTCTTCCCTCCCAAAGACAAGCCAAGCGACTCCTGGGGCAGATCGTGGACCGCTGTCGGAATGGGCCTGGCTTTCATAATGACACAGACGGCAACAGCACAATCCAGGAGATCCTCATCCCCGCGTCCAAAGTGGGTCTGGTCATCGGCAAAGGAGGGGAAACTATAAAGCAGTTGCAGGTATGTGAACCCTGAGCAGAGGCCTTTGTCTTCCTCACCTTCCTGGTTTGGGAGGTTTTGTCGTTAACTCACTTCCCCCGGTTGACCTGGCTGTGCCTGCCTCGGGCCAGAGCTCCCCTCAACCCCTGCCCGAGTGGTTCCATGCTTCCTCCTTTCGGCCGCTGTTTTCTGGACACACTGTAGCCAGGCCTGGTGCCAGCTATGATGTTGGTCCTGGGGCTTCGTGAACTCGTAGCAGCCATTGTGGTGGTGAAGCTCTGGTACCATCACGTGACAACATCTCGGGTGAAGAGTCTGCATCCAGAGCCACAGCACTGCCTGCGCCAGTCGTGGGAGCTTAAATGTGTTCATGCGTTTTTCAAAGGGCTGGGTCCTCATCTGTGAGTGCAGGGACGTGCCAGCCTCACTTGTAATGAAGCTGAAGTAATACCCGTTATTTCATATTTAAATGAGACCCTTAGCAGCGAGCCTCTCACTGAGCAAGTGCTCCGTGAACATGAGCTGCTGTTGGCTGTAGAATCCCTCATCTGAGACTCATGGGGCCGAACGCGGCTCAGAATTTAACACCCCAGCCAGTCCCGCGCTGCACCCTGTAGCCAAGTGCTTATTTCCATAGCCAGACAGAACAATGGCCACACTCAGGAGAGTGACTAGAAATATGCTTCCATGAGTTCAGGTCAGTTTTGCTGCCAAATCAGTTATGAACAAACTTTTATTTCCAAGCTCTGGGGCTTTTGAAGTTGCAGAGCAGGGGTTGTGGCCCACCTCTGTGCTCCCTCCTAGCCCAGTCCTCGGACTGCGAAGACACTTTAGTGCAGTGGTTCTCAACCTTCCTAATGCTGCGACCCTTTAATACAGTTCCTCATGTTGTGGTGACCCCCAACCATAAAATGATTTTCATTGCTACTACATAACTGTAATTTCGCTACTGTTATGAATCATAATGTAAATATCTGATATGCAGGATGTATTTTCATTGTTCGCGACCCACAGGTTGAGAACCGCTGCTCTAGTGTGTGCTCAAAGAGTTCAGGGTTTGGACTCCCAGAATCCAAATTGTGGCCTCCACTCATCAGCTCTGGACCGCTCTTGGGCAGCTTCCTGTCCCAGCCTCCTCACCAGGGATGGCACACTGGCCTCGCATGCTGGGCTCAAGCCCTTACTGGGTGATATTCGATGGAGTGCTCAGCTGAGGGCCTGGCACTGCATAGAAAAGGCTCATTTGTATCTAGATGTTCTAGAGACTGGACAGGAGGAGAGTGGGGAATGTTTCTGTGTCACACTTGGAAGCTCTCTAGCATGGCCTGGATGTCCGCAGTCTCAGAGGCCAGCCTCATGGCCGGGTCAGAGGGCAATGCTCTGTGGTAGGAAGGACATGTCTTCTGAGGACGTGATCCGGCCCCCCGCAGCGTCTTGTACCCTCCTGCATGTTCATCCATGGCGGTGAGGAGTGTACCTATGTGTGTGTCCACAGGAGCGGACGGGTGTGAAAATGGTCATGATCCAGGACGGCCCGCTGCCTACGGGAGCAGACAAGCCTCTTCGCATCACTGGAGACCCCTTTAAAGTACAGGTAGGCAAGAAGCGAGCGGGCAGGTCCTGGGTGTGATGAAAGAATCTAGGGTTGTGTTGCTCAATGTCAGAGCCACTGGCCACGTGTGGCTATAATTAAGATTAAGTAGACAATGAGTTCTTCGTTGACACTGGCTATATTTCAAGTGCTCGGGCTACATGTCATGGGCAGTGTATATTTGGAACATTTCCGTAATTGCAGATTTTGTTGGATGGCGTAGCACTGCTCAGATGCAGTTTTCGACTTATTACCTATCAGCTCAGATGCAGGCTCCATTTGGCTTTTATTTGCTTGTTCTCTCAACTCTTAAAAAAATTTTTTTAATTGATTTTAGAGAAAAGAAGGGAGAGGGATAGAGAGAAAGAAACATCTATGAGAGAGAAACATCAATTGGCTGCCACTGCACGCCCCCCACCAGGGATCCAGCCCACAACCCTGGGCATGTGCCCTGACTGGGAATCGAACCCGTGACCTCTTAGTTCATGGGTTGATGCTCAACCCATTTTTGCAAGAGCTCCAGCTGGTGTGGGAAGTAAGCAAAGGTGCCAGCAACCCCCGAGGCATGTGTGCCCATCTAGCAAGCATCCTGTGTCTGAGCTCCTGGCCACAGAGGACAGTCCCAGTTGCTAAGAGCAGTGAGGGACTTGGCTTTACATCACCTGGGGTGGTTTTACCCTCACTGTTAGCAGGAACGTGTGTGGGCTGTGGGTGTAGCGTGTCTGTGCCTGTGAAATAGGAACACTCTCTTCTGCCTCTGCGACCCTCCTTGTCTTTGCTGCACTGAGTGTAGCTCCAGGGTGACGCTCCTGGGTGAGCCAGCCCATCAGGCAGCTGTTCTCTGCAGGAGCTTTGGGGCGTGGATGAAGTGGAGGTTACCTGACTCAGGAAAATACTTCCCCCAGTTCTTAACACTGTCAGTCAAACTCAAATTGGTATCATTGTTGCTTTTTCAAGGAACATATGTAAAACAGTGGTTTCAAAACAGTGGAAGGCAGTGATTACAATGGCTTCTTCCCTTAGGCCAGTGGTCAGCAAACCGCGGCTTTGGAGCCACATGCGGCTCTTTGGCCCCTTGAGTGTGGCTTTTCCACAAAATACCACATGCAGGCACGCACGTACAGTGCAATTGAAACTTCGTGGCCCATGCGCAGAAGTCGGTTTTCGGAAAGGAGATAGACGAAACAAGTATACAAGATGGGTGTGGATGCGAGAGTTGGAAGGGGTCGACCTCAGCAAATGTACCTCAATCAGATTGAGGATGTTTTTAGCAAAGGCCAGCTCAGGAGTACCCTAATTAAGTTAATAACAATGTACCTACCTATATAGTTTAAGTTTAAAAAATTTAGCTCTCAAAAGAAATTTCAGTCGTACTGTTGATATTTGGCTCTGTTGACTAATGAGTTTGCCGACCACTGCCTTAGGCCCAGGCAGTGCTGCAGCCCTTCACCCCTTCCTGCAAGCCAGGACCCCCTGGCTTTCCTCCCCCAGGGTCCCTAGCCTCTTTGCATGGGAACAGGTGGGCTTTTAAAAAGTCAGATGGCATCTAACCTTTCTTCAGTTGGCTTATCCAGTCCGGCTGGCGGGCTCCATGCGTGATATGGGGAAGTCTGGAAGGAATTGTAGGGCGGACGTTCCCCGAGAATGCTGGCAACAGAGCCTGTCTCCCAGCAGCTCTCCACTGCCTTCTCTTCTGGAACCTTTGGTTTTATCTGAGGTAGAAAAAAATACCTGAGCAAAGAGCTTCTCTCATTGATATTTCATGAATTTGCAGGAAAATAATTGTAACAAGAGGTTTTTAGTACTGGTGTTTATTTCATGTACTCCACATTTGGGGGGGGGGGGGGCAGCTATTGTATTTAGGGTAAATTGTTATTGTATTTTTTCTTTCTCCAACTTTTTATTATGAGAAACTTCAAACATCTAGAAAATTTGAAAAGCTAGTATAGCAAATATCTGTATAACCTCATCCTACTTGTCATTGCCATTCATATGCATGCATTTGTTTATTTTGTTTTACCATTTATATGTAAGTGGCAGGTATTGTGACTCTCTACCCCTAAATCCTACAGCATGTGTCTGCTAAGAATAAGAACTTCCTGCTCTGTACCCAGGCCAGAGAAAATGAGTGACCCCATAATATCTCTTAGCCAGTCCATATTCAGAGTTCTCTGAGTGTCCTGAGACCCTAATTACTGTTTGGGGTTGGTCAGGGGAGACGGTTGTTTAGATTTGGTTTGGTTGGGTTTGGTTTTTCCAGAACGAAGACTCAGTCTGAGTTGCCACATGGCCTTGAGCTGTTAGGTACAGGTGATCCTTAGTGCAGATTCCTGTGGGGCTAGGGCTGGCGTGGACAGGTAAACTAACAAGTGTGTCCTTTGGGGAGAGGACACTGCGTGTGCCTTGGAGAGAGTCAGGCCTGGGGGTCGTCTTGCCAGGCAGTAGTCGGATATTTGATCTCTGAATGCTGGGAGGTTCTCTGGGCTCCAGGGCTGGCCTTTTCCCTTTACCTTCCTGGAGCTCCGTTGTGATAGCCGCCTTGGGAGTGTCTTTCTCCTGGAACCTGCCCACAGTCAGAGCTCTCAGAAAAACCCTCCTCTCACTAACAAATGGCTGCTGGAAACACCTCGAGGCCACAGGAAGCAAGTTCAAACCAGCACAGATGTGCCGGTCCTACTATGGCTTTCAAGACAATGGACCCTTACCTGGGTATTTGGGGCAGTGTAAGAAAAACCATGTCATTTAAGAATTGATATATGCGACCCTAAGCAGCAGCCTGCCCCTGTCCCATATAATAATAATAGAATAAGGGAGTGTTGCTGAGCACCTTCTGAGTCTTTAAGCCCAGCATAAGAGGGCCTGATGTTGAAGTTGTACGTGGTGTCATGTCTTTTTTTAGGATTTTGTGTTCCATAACGTCTTTTATCTGTGTTTACACAGCAAGCAAGAGAAATGGTGTTAGAGATCATCCGAGAAAAAGACCAAGCTGACTTTCGAGGTGTGCGCGGTGACTTCGCCTCCCGAATGGGAGGAGGCAGTATAGAGGTATGCTTGAATCCCAGGTTAGTAGGCAAACGGGATTAGGATTAAGGTCGTAGGCCACACGTCTGCTGGCTCTTTAATCTTGAGCAAGCTATTTCATTTTTGTCTCATCTGTGAAATCCACCAGGACGCGTACTCTTCAGGGTGGGCGTGAGGCAGACAGCCATAGTGAGGGAGCCGCGGCATGCTCTTGGGGCTTGGGGCCATCCCTTGGTTTTGAAGTTTTGCTTCAAAGCTTATCCCACTGCCCAGGTGGAGACCAGAGGCCACATTTTCTCGGTGGTCTGTGCTGTGCTTGTATCAAACTTGGGAACCACATTTATTGGTGAGATGGAATGGGACCAGCATCTACCCTTCAGAAGGAAGTTTTGATCATGCTACAATATGGATGGACCTTGCCATCATTATGCTTGTAAAACAAGCCAGATACAGAAGGGATAGATCTTGTGTGATTCCACTTATACCTAGAGTGGGCACATCTGGAGTCAGAAAATAGCATGGAGGTTACCAGAGGCTGGGCAAAGCAGGAGCTACTACTTAATGGATAGAGAGTTTTTATTGGGGATGATGAAAAGGTCTAGGGCGATGGTCGGAAAACTGTGGCTCGCGAGCCACATGTGGCTCTTTGGCCCCTTGAGTGTGGCTCTTCCACAAAATACCACGTGTGGGCGCGCATGTACAGTGCGATTGAAATTTCGTGGCCCTTGCGCAGAAGTCCGTTTTGGGCCTGGGCGAGTCTATTTTGAAGAAGTGGCATTAGAAGAAGTGGGGGGTGTCTGTCGGTCGGTCGGTAGATAGGATACGTGGGGGAGGTATTGTTTTGAGGTACGTTTGCTGAGGTCGACCCCTTCTAACTCTCCCATCCACACTCATCTATCTGAAACAAGTATACAAGACGAGTGTGGATGGGAGAGTTGGAAGGGGTCGACCTCAGCGAACGTACCTCAATCAGGTTGAGGATGTTTTTAGCAAAGGCCAGCTTAGGAGTACCCTAATTAAGTTCATAACAATGTACCTATCTATATAGTTTAAGTTTAAAAAATTTGGCTCTCAAAAGAAATTTTAGTCATTGTACTGTTGATATTTGGCTCTGTTGACTAATGAGTTTGCCGACCATTTGGTCTATGCAGGGGTGGGCAAACTTTTTGACTCGAGGGCCACAATGGGTTCTTAAACTGGACCGGAGGGCCGGAACAAAAGCATGGATGGAGTGTTTGTGTGAACTAATATAAATTCAAAGTAAACATCATTACATAAAAGGGTACGGTCTTTTATTTCAATAGTTTTATTCATTTGGGCCGTAGTTTGCCCACTGCTGGTCTAGGGTATAGATATCTGGGATGGTTACACAATATTGTGAATATATTTAATACCACTGAATCGTGTAATTATGAATGGTTAAGATGATAAATGTTATATGTATCTTTTTTGTTAATCCTCACCCGAGGATATTTTTCCATGGATTTTTAAAGAGAATGGGGGGATGTGGGGGCATGGGGAGAGACACAGAGAAACATCGATGTGAGAGTAGCACATCAATTGGTTGCCTCCTGCACACGCCCCGACCAGGGCCCTGATCGATCTTGCAACCGAGGTATGTGCCCTTGACTGGAATTAAACCCAGGACCCTTCAGTCCGCAGGCCAACACTTTATCCACTGTGCCAAAGAGGCTAGGGCTGAAAAACATATTTTGAAGGACCACTATGAATGTTTATGACATACTTATGCTTATTTCATAGAGTTTTGAAGAAAAATTTGTCATTTTAAATCTTTTATCTATGTATACAGTTTATTCTTGCTTTTCTTCATTTTTATAACTATTTTGATCAAATCTCACACTTACTGGATGCATTTAGCAGAAAGAAATGCAATCATTAACCACAAAATTGTTCTTAAAAGGGAAAAAATATGGTTTATTACATCACTTCCAGGAATGCCCTGTAACACAAATCAAGTCACACACACGTCCATTGAGAACAGACAGGGTTGCCAAAATCTGATGAGGCTCTTTCTCGTTGCTCAGGTGTCTGTGCCTAGGTTTGCTGTCGGGATCGTCATAGGAAGAAATGGGGAGATGATCAAAAAGATCCAGAATGACGCTGGTGTGAGGATTCAGTTCAAGCCAGGTTGGTTTTGATAGTTCCCAGAAATCCTTTCATGGGGGGGAGGGGGTGCAGGAAGAAATTAACCAAAGAACTTACATGCATAGGTGCATAACCCATGGACACAGACAATAGTGAGGGAAAGGCCTGAGGGGGGTGGAGGCCAGTGGGGGGACAAAGGGGACATCTGTAATACTTTCAACAATAAAGATAAATGTTTAAGAAATCCTTTAATTAGAAAACACCTCACAAACAGGACTTTGTAACCAGCCCATTTGTGTTCTTTTCTCCCTTTCTCTACCTCTGTTTCTTTTTCTGTCTTTTGCAACATTCTGTTACCAAATGCCCGATTCTAGGGCTCTCCTCCAGGCCCTCATGTCTTTCTTTGGATTTGTCGGTTTGGTTACCCTTGTGCCTGAACACTCTGCACCCGGGTGTCCAGGGCTTCTCCACCCCACCCCCCACCCCCAGACTAATAAAATTGGGGAAAATCAACATAGCATTTCCAGTTTTTAATTTTGCCAATTAAAAACTTCTAAAAAAAATCTGTTATTGTAATTTTATAAAATTAAACATAAAACCATTAAAAAAGGGACATTTTGGAATAAAAAACAATTCTTTAAGTTTTGTAAGTTTATCTTTATAAGCAAACTTATTTACAGTGTCTTTATTTTCTTTATTTCTCTAAAGATGATAAAACATGGTGATGGGCTAATTTTGGGAAAATATTGCTATAGCTCAACTCTATTTTCCTTGGGGTCTTTATGTTTTTGTTTTGTTTTCTTCTTTAATGATGTCTCCTTTAAATGCCTGTAATTGCGTAAGTATTGGCAGGGGCCACGTACAAAGGCATAGTCATACACCTTCCCCAGCGAAAGAGGCCCTGAACCTGGTGATGGGCCAGCCCTCTGGCACTGGGAGGAATATTGATGGCAAATCAGACTGACCTTCGTCTCTGTCTGAAGCTGGGCGTCCTAATCCCACCACTTGCCTTGTTCCACAGACGATGGAATTAGTCCAGAGAGAGCGGCACAGGTCATGGGACCCCCGGACCGATGTCAGCACGCAGCGCATGTCATCAACGAGCTGATTCTTACAGCCCAGGTGGGTCTGGCTGTGTGGGTTCACCTCACTGGCCATAGGGGCAGGTGCCACATGGGGCTCTAGCCTGTGGGGCTCTGGGGCTGCTCCACATCTGCTCCTTCCTGCTGGTTTGTGACTCTACTGCCTTGGTTGTCCCAGAAGTTAGGTTTTCTGACTAGTTAACTGGGGGAAATGCAGTGCAGACCCCAAGTTTCAAGTAGCTGAGCACTTAATTTAAGACTGTAAGCCAAGTACCACCTTAGCTTTAGAAAGCACGTCAGGCCCACAGAGGCTTCCAGCTGTTTTCATGCCCTGGATTCCGGGCTCCTCATCTGGAAAGGGAGCGACCTTGTGCTGTTGTTAGCATCTCCTCCTGCCCCGCTTGCTAGTAGCCCTGGGAACTGCTGTAGCGGACGGTAGATTGGCATGTCCCCCAGGTGTAGGGCTGAGGAAGTTTTGAGGATGATTGGAGCTGAAGAAAGCATGAGAAGTTGTTGTCCGGCTCTGCCATTGGCCGTGGGACCTTGGATGAGGCTTTGAGCCTGTCTAGGCCAAGTATTCTCAGCAGCAGGCGGTTTCGCACCAGGTGGTCCCCCAAGTCACCTGGGAGGACAGGCGGGAGTAGCGAGTTTGTAGAATCTACCAGGATCTGTAGAACCAAAATACCCAAGGCAAGGGTTTGGGTCTCGGCTGTAGCTAAATCCCAGGCCATTCGTAGGATTATACAAGTTCTAAAAAGAATCACTAAGGGACCTCTCATCCTTTTTACTAGTGAGAGGGCGTGAGCCAGAACTGCAGAGGCTGTGAGAGGAGGAGGGGGCGGTCTTGTCCATGAGACCCTGTGGCACACCCAGCAATGGCTGTGTGTGTGTGTGTGTGTGTGTGTGTTTTAACGTAAGTCTCTAGATCACCTGTGTGTTTGTCCTGGGTCTCATAAAAGCAGAATGCAAGAAGAAAGCACTCCAGTGACCTCTGCTTTCTGCTGGTGTAGATTCTGGTTAAATGTTCAATTTTCTTGTAATTGATATGGGCAGGTTTTGCCAACACGTTTCTTCACCATATTGAACCTTTCAGCTTCTCCCTCCCGTGAAAGGAGCTGGGCTTTCCCTCCGAGTTTAAAGGGTTAAATGCTGCCGCTCCAGAGGGGCTCGGGAATGAGCTTCCTCTGTTAGGTGCCCGATGTGGGTTTTGCTCTCTGGGGAGGGGGGCGCGAGAATGAGTCAGAGACTTCTCCAGCCTCAACCATGCACAGCTTGGCTTGGTCCCTCCCTCCTCTGGGGCGTGGGACAACCGGTTTTTCTTTTCTTTTAAATATATTTTTTATTGATTTCAGAGAGGGAGGGAGAGGGAGAGAGATCGAAACATCAATGATGAGAGAGAATCATCCATTGGCTGCCTCCTGCATGCCCCCTACTGGGGATCAAGCCCGCAACCCAGGCATGTGCCTTTGACTAGAATCGAACCCAGGACCCTGCAGTCCACAGGCGGACACTCTATCCACTGAGCCAAACCAGCTAGGGCCAGTATTTCTTTAAAATCCTTTTATCCTTTTTGCTGGTTAGGTTGCAAGGTGTTCTGACTCATGTAGCAATCTCTGAATAGTTCCTTACAGCAGTCTAGTCAGGGAAGGTCAGAAGTCATCCATTGTCACTCATGTGTCACTGCAAATGGCCGTAGCTCTTCAGCGTCTAGTGTCTGGTTTCTGGTAGGCCCACCATGTGTTAGCCCCCGGGAAAGGGCAGCTTCATTGAAAAGAAAGTCACCTCTGACCCTGTAGATTAGGGCCCCGTAATGCAAACTCTAGGGAAAAGGGCACTGGGCTTCGGACCTAGGAGTTCATATCTGCCCTATTTCGTCAGGTCTGTTTGTGCTGTTTATGTCGCACATGCATTTATCGTCATGTGTGCTCCTTGAATACACCTGTGATTTGTGTTAATTCTGCTTTTAAAGAGCCTTCACAATTTGAAATGTGGAATGATGCTCAGGCCCTGATTTGTGGCACTGATTACATCCTGTCACTGCACCTCCTCCCTGGGCATGAAAGTGGTGCTGGCGGCAGTGGCAGGAATCTTCACCTGAGCTTTGCTCCTCTCCCAGGAAAGGGATGGCTTTGGAGGCCTCGCAGTAGCCCGAGGACGAGGCCGTGGCCGCGGCGACTGGAGCATGGGAACCCCTGGCGGCATCCAGGAGATAACGTACACGGTGCCCGCAGATAAGTGTGGCCTCGTCATAGGCAAAGGTGAGAGGCAGCTGCTGGCGTTTATGTTCCCTCTCCGCTAGTTAACCCGAGAGCACATGGGTCACATACCTCCCACGCAGGGCGTGGAGCCTGGCTGCTGCGCTTGCCTGAAGGCACCAGGTCTGTAGCATCAGCTGCCTTCTTCGGGGCCTGCTGTGCGGGGGCCTTCTTGTGAATGGGACAGGGCGTGCAACAGATGATCCGTAGGGCCCACGGCCTGATGAAGCAGCTTCGTTGTTGAAAAGGCGAAATGTTTGCCTTTGGATGTTTGTGGATCGACTGATCAGTAATGAACACGCCTCCAAGGAACTTAGAGGAACAGTTAAGATGATCTCCAGTGAAGATGCTCTCTGAGGGGGTCACGTACTGGGTTTGGGTATTTGGCCTTTATTGTCACAACATGTGAAAATGGTTTTATCCTTTCAACACTTTTACTACAACTCCCTGCGGTGAAATAAAAATAGGTTTGTTAGTTGTTTCTAGGCATTTTAGAGAGCAGGAGGCGGCCCATCGTGACTGGCTGGTGTGCTCCTGCCCACCTGTTAGTGAAAAGCGCAGGAGGGAGCAGGCGGATTGCTAGGCTGTCGGGCTGGTTCATGGGGCTGGCCTGGCCTGGGAACCAAGAAAGGCCGCCGAGAGCAGGCCTGTGGCTCACCGGGCCCTTCCCCAGCCGCCAGCGCAGCTTCTCTGCTCCAGACAGTCTCTGTGCCAACAGGAGACTCGGAGTTAGTGTTGGGTGTTGTGTTTGAGGAAATGGTAGTCTTCTCCCAGAGTGTCTGCAGTTTCTGTGCTCCCCAGGCATGTGTTCACTATGGGAGGGGTGCTAGTCTCCACGGAATGTGACTTGGAAATGTCTCCACCAACAGAAAGTTGGGACCGAAGCGGCACATCTTCACGAGCTGGCGTGGGGTGGGCATCCCTCCTGCGCTGTCACTCACCTCCCAGAGTCTGCATGGGCCCTGCCCTGGCCCTGCCCCAGGCAGTGTTTTGCTCTTTTCAAACCTTGATCTCCTGTGACTGTGTGGGTCTGGGATGTTCAGAAGTGGTAGGAACAATGGGGGCTTGTTTTCCTCTGTGGCGGGGTTTCCCTGCTGAGAAGTGCTTGGCAGATACTGTTAGCTGCCCAAATGCGTGATAAGCCAGACGCCCCCCAGCCCTACACCTGGCTGCCTGAGCATCGGTTTTGTTGATGCCGTAGGTTGAGAGTCAGCTCTGGGTTTCTGGGCCTTGTGAAAACCGTTTTTACCAACGAGGTTTTCCTGTGAACGTGAGTCTCCTCTAGAGCCGGGCTGCCTCTGCTGGGACAGTCCTCATGGTCGTGAGGCCTCTTTCACAGGACAGCCTCTGTCAGCTCACCCACCAGTCATCCCAGTGACGCCCAGAAGACAGGGACAGCAGAGGACGCAGTCGTGGGTACCGGGGCCAGTGCTCCAGTTGCAGCCCGGACAAGCCCAGGAAAAGTTTTGTTGGGGGTCGGGGGGCTTTCCATACCCACAGGGCTGGGTATGAGGTGCTCCTCCCCCTTGGGAAAGATGCATGGGGAGGAGGAAGAGAGTGGAGGGAGCCCCACTCAGTGGGCTCTGCTCCCCCTGCGCCAGCCCTTGGGCAGACGCTGCGCCTCCCAGGCCCCTGCTGGATTTCCATGATAAATACAGCAATAGTGACAGATAGTGTGGCCAGCCCTGCTCTTGTCACCAGGCCTTTTAGCAGGTTTGATTAATTGCTTTACGATTTCACAACCAGCCAGGGGGGCCACTGGTGGGTGGCTTCTGCCCCCCATCAGGTGGAAGAATGGAGCAGGCTGCTGAATGAGTCTATAGACAGCCACCATGTGCCAAGCTGGTGACCTCATTTTGAAGGAAGATAAACTTAAATTAACTCCTTCCGGCCCCATGCAGTTTTGTGGGGCCTCCTCACCTTATTAGCATGCTCCCAAGGCCTCGGGAGAGGGGCTGTGGGTCCGCTGGGCTGCGTGCCCGCCGGATGGAGGGGCTGCAGGGTCTCTGGCTCAGGCAGACATGCGCACCCTTTGTGCTCCTGCGCACAGCCAGGCGGCGGCTGGCAGTGCCGTGGAAAGGTCTCCGCTGAGTCTTGGCTCTTCACTGCTCCACAGAAGCGCTATTGCCGAGGAGCAGAGCTGCTCACTTTTCACGATGCAAAGATCAGATTCACCCCTGGGAGTGCGGGGCAGTAGGGACAGGCTCGGGACTTTCTGCGTTGGTCACTGCCGTCCCGACACTTTCCTTAAACTGTTGCAGCTTTACGAAAACCATGTACACACAAGACTTTGGTCCGCTGCATTCTTTTTCTAATTTGCTTTGAAATTTAAAGCCACCCCACCTACCCAAGCTGATGTTGAACAAAGCTTGATCCGAATCCTCGGTTTCCTTCCCCTGTGTGAACGCCGCCAGCAACGGCTGGACCCAGGCTCCAGCTTTGCTTCTTGACCCTGTAGAGTCCCTCGGAGGGGACAGGTGTCCGCTGCTCATTTCTTCTTGACAGGCTGTTCAGCCCAGGCCTCCCTCAGTGCGGGTGGAGGCAGGTAGAGGGTTGAAGGGCTGTGGGCATGTTACAAGGAAATGGCACATGTCCTGTGAGGTTAGAGTGTCACAGACTGGCCTTCAGTATTTGCTTTTGATCATTTGGGGCTCCCTGGTCCCCTGCACCCGATTTTCCACAGATTGTCTTTTTCCGGTTTTGCAAAAACTCTACTAGGCATTTTCCTTGTATTCTGGCTCCCCCCCAATTGAGCCGTGCTGGTCTGTAAGTTCTGTGAAATCTCAAAAGAAGAATCAAACCATTGTTACCCTGGTGGAGCTTTTGTTACACAAATTTCATTAAGAGACTGGGACTGTCACAGGTTTTTCAAAGAGTCCAACTAAATTTTCATTAGCCCAGCTCCACCCAGGCCTCTGTGACCCCCATCCTCTGGCTGCCTCTCTGTCTAGACCTGTCCCCCCCCCCCAAACCCCCATGGAGGAGGCAGGGACTTGAGAGTGACAGGATGAGATGGGATATTAAAGGCCCGAGTGGGCTTCAGGCATTGTTGGGGCCTGTGGCCGTCTGTTTGACCTGTGGAGGGAGGGAGAGCAGCAGTGCGGTGGCCCACGCAGGGCTGAAGGACCCCATTGTGCCATAGAGGAGCCATCAGGTCGCCATTCTTGTGCTGAGAAGGATGGAGTGCCTTTTCCGGCAAGGCCTCTGGCTGGAGTGGGAACTGGGCACTGGCCTCTAGGGCTGAGCTCCATTGTGTGCAAATCCCTGGGCCTCGGTGCCTGGTTCCTGGCCTCTGGGAGGAGGAAGCCAGCAGGTGCAGGTGCCCGTGGTGTGGTGCCCGTAGTGTCAGCCTGGCTGGAGACAAGGACCAGCTTCGCAGCCTGAACCTGGTGTAAGAAGGCAGGTGCAGAAAACCCCCTTTCCTTGTCTTCTGGAGCGGAGCCCCGCACAGCCTTTGGGCTGCTACTCATCCTTCCGTCTCGTGTCCTCCTGCCCACAGGGGGTGAGAACATCAAAAGCATAAACCAGCAGTCAGGAGCACACGTGGAGCTGCAGCGCAACCCCCCTCCCAACACCGACCCCAACCTGCGAATATTCACCATCAGGGGGATTCCTCAGCAGATCGAGGTGGCCAGACATCTCATAGATGAGAAAGTTGGCGTACGTACAAGGCCCTTTCCCCACCGGGCTTACTAATAGCTGGATTTTCTGGTGGATGTCCAAGGTACCTGTTTTTCCCCAGAACCTTGTACTTCCTGAACCTTTTTCATCCTCGCATCATGTGAGGGCCCCTCCTCTCACTTTGCCGAGGGGGAAGGTCGGGGTCCAGGGATCCCAGGGCCAGGCCCAGGCGATGAAGGAAGCCTTCTGGCAGGACTCACCAAGGCCACCAGCCTCAGGCCCTAGAGCCGTGTCCCCTGCAGGCTTAGATGAGCAGGGCAGCACCCTCCCCCCAGTACTGCCCCGGACACTGCCGTGGGCCAGCCCTGCAGACAGCGCTCATTGACTCTGGCTTTAGTTTCAGGCACCTCAAAGCAGATAAAGAAAGAAAGGGAGTGTTGATGGAGGACAGAGGGCCACTGCTCACCTCAGAGGGGACGTAGAAGGGCAGACAGAGCCGTGGGCAGCCTAATTGACGGACAGTCAAGCAGGTTGGTCCCTCCCCCAGGGTGACGTGCCAGGGCAAATGTGGTGGTGCCAGCAGTGGCTGTGGTGGTTTTGGTCACTCAGGGGGCAGAAGCCATTTCTGGAAATCAAGTCCACTGTGGGGAAGGAAGGCTAGTGTGAGTGCAATAGGGCGTCTTTCCTTCACTTGGCTCTGTCTCCCCAAAAGCTGTGGTCTGCCTTGGGGGGCCTGGGCAGAGGGCAGAGATGCCCCCAGCAGGAAGTGAGCGTTCCCTCTGTGCCATGACAGGGTACCAGTCTGGGAGCACCTGGAGCCTACGGACAGAGCCCCTTCAGCCAGCCCCCTGCCGCACCTCATCAAAAGTGAGTCTAACGTCCACCCCAACTGCAAGCTCCCTCCCTGCCTCCCAACAGGCCCTCCTTTCCAGCTGCTGGGAGGGCACATCCTGTGGGCAGGGCTCCTCCCACCTCTGACCAGTGGTCCCTCCGGCCCATTTGTAGCTCACTGACCAGTGCTGGGATGAGGGCCTCCCAGGGGCAGCATCCCCGAGGAGCACTCACCATCCTGGGACTGAGGGGAGGTTTTAGCAGAAGTCTTTCTGTTCACCCTTTAACTTCGTTTTTCACTTTCTCTCAGCACCTTTCCTCCACGGAGCTCAGGGTGCTTCCCGAACATTGCTGCTAAAGTGAACGGAAACCCGCACAGCACCCCTGTCAGGTGGGTGGCCTGCTCCTACTCGTCCGTGTAGTTCTCAGTCAGGACTGGGGTCGTGGTCACCTGGCACTGCTGGGGGGACCGTTGTGCTTGCCTGGGGTGGAGGGGTGAGTGACAAAGAGACAGCGGGATTATGGGGGGGTGGACCCCGGTGCGGAGGGGGGGGTGTGACCTGCACTAGAAAAGGTGACTCTCTTTGTCCTTTGCAGTGGGCCTCCGGCCTTCCTGACCCAGGGCTGGGGCAGCACCTACCAGGCGTGGCAGCAGCCCGCACAGCAAGTCCCAAGTAAGTTTCTCCGGAGGAGGTGGGCCTGGGCACCCCCCGCCCCCATGGAAGGCTCGAGGGGGATGGGCCTGAAATGCTCTCCTTCCAACGCTGCCCACAGGCCCAGGGTGCCCCTCCCAGGATGGCAGGGAGCCTCCTGGGGCCTCAGGAGCTGTCGGCAGAGGAGGCTTCTGTGCAGACGGCCCTGGCCTCCAGCCTGGCAGGGGCAGAGGGGCTGGCCCACCTTCTCAGACCTTTCTTTCCCATCCGCTCTGCCCTCAGAGCTCTGGGTCAGAAAGCCTGTGGCCACGGGCGTGGTTTGCCGAGCCCCTCGGTTCCTCCTGCCTGCGCTCTGCCTCTCGCTCTGCATTCTGAGCAGCCTCTGCTCGCTGGGCTTGCCCCTCCCTTGGCCGCAAGGTGACCATCTCCCCTTTCCAGCACCGCCTCGGGCTCTCTGTCTCCTGGGCGTTCGGGAAAGCACACATGAGAGAGCTCTGCCCGGTGGCACCTGGGAGAAAGCTGATTGGAAGAGCGGGGTTCCGTGGGGATCGGTCCGGCCCCACTCTCCGGCCCCACTCTCGGTTAGGAGCCATTCTTACGTTTTATGGCTACGTTTACCCTGCATAGCCTGCAAAACAGAACACAACCCGGACCTGGGTCTTTCTGGCCCTCCCAAGCCGGACTGCGTGCAAGGCGGTCTCCAGTGTATCTGCGCGTGTCCCCCCTGCACACCTGCTGCAGGACCAGGCATCACAGCTTTGCGCATGGGGACGGAGCCCGGGGCCTGGTGTGCCCCCTCCCCTGGAGCAGAGTGCTGCCTGACAGCGCTGCCCCGGGCCCTGGTCATGGGCACAGATGACACCACAGGGTCTGGAGGCCATGCTGTGCAGCCTCGGGCACATTCCCCCTTCTCTGAGCTCCAGTCTCGTGGTCTGAAATGAAGGGTTTGGATTTGATTTCTAAAGTAACGGCAAGCTCTGAAATTGCACAGTGGTATTTTTTCCTCTTCTTCTGCAGTGTTTTCTTATGAAACATATTAAATATACAGAAGGTTTTAAAGAACTTCAACATGAACACCTAACACTACCTAGACCGTGGTCAGCAAACCTCGGCTTGCGAGCCACATGCGGCTCTTTGGCCCCTTGAGTGTGGCTCTTCCACAAAATACCGGCTCTTCCACAAAATACCGACTTCTGCGCATGGGCCACGAAGTTTCAATCGCACTGTACGTGCGCACCTGCACGTGGTATTTTGTGGATGAGCCACACTCAAGGGGCCAAAGAGCCGCATGTGGCTCGCGAGCCGCGGTTTGCTGACCACTGACCTAGACCCTACCATTCCTGTTGCACTGGACTCGCTTTACCCTGGAGCTGGTCTGTTGTGTTTCCTCCTGTTCTGACCATTGGAGGGTGGCCTCACATTTGTCCCATTGTCCAGGGCAGGACGGGAAAATGTCTTTACACTGAAGCCCAAGGGAGCATGTCCTTCTGCCCAGGGGACATCGGCCATGGGGCTGTGGCTCTGCAGAGGCCCGGCCTGCTGCTTGCCCGCGCCCAGGCAGGCCCGGAGGAGTCGGGAGGAGCATCGGGAGGAGGAAGAAGACAGGGCGATGCCTGGTTTCTTCCTCTGTGCAGCAGCCTGCATCTTTTTTCTTTTTTTTTTAATTTATTTTTATTGATGTCAGAGAGGAAGGGAGAGAGGGAGAGAGATAGAAACATCAATGATGAGAACCATTGACCGGCTGCCTCCTGCACACCCCCCACTGGGGATGGAGCCCATAGCCTGGGCATGTGCCCTGACTGGGAATTGAACCATGACCTCCTGTTCACAGGTTGACGCTCAACCACTGAGTCACGCCGGCCGGGCACCAGCCTGTAACTTGTGTTGAGTTTTGTTGCTTTACTCGGAGGGTTTAGGAATTGAGTTGGTGTTGGTCAGTGAAATCGGTTTGGAAGAAAAACCCTGCTTGTCCACATTCCTCAAGCCTAGCCTTCCCCCAACCAGGTCCTTTACTCCTAGTGTCCTGGTCTGAGTGTCTTCCTGCCCTGGTGGGAGAGGAAGGGGGCTTCTCCCCTCTCTTACCCTCCCCCCTCTTTTCTGTCCCCCGCCCACACCCAGGCCCCATGCCCCTTTGTCTTCAGTGAGTTCACTAGCAGGAGGGATGCTGTGAGATGGCTGCTGGCAGGCCCTCTGTGCTGCTGCAGACGCTTCTCCCTGCAGACAGTGAGAGGCCTTAGGTAGACACGCAGCCAGTCTGGCCTCGGCACAAAGATCCCAACCAACTGAGCCACCGGGCCAGGGCTTGCTGAGTTCATTTTATGCTCTTTATGCGCCTGGGCAGGCATATCTACTCCACCCCTAGCCCGTCTTTACTGCCCCTGCTGCATAGAGAAGGCACCGGCTTGTGTACGGAGGAGGAGGGCGGGAGCGAGCCCACACATCCTCTCTCCTGCTCCTGCCCCAAAGGCAAAAGGCTGGCGGCCTGTGTCGGATGCATGTTGTGGCCACCGCCCCTTGCTTTGTGGACCTCATCTTTGTCATCACCGTGAGCTCAGTGTCCGGATAGTTTCCCGAGGGTTTGCTCTACGGCTCTGCTTGTGCAGAGGCGCAGCCGGCGGTCTTGGAGCAGAAGGCTCAGCCCGGGTGGAGAGTGTGCTCGGTGCCGTTTGGACTCCGTGTCCCACTTGAAGCCCCTCCAGGAAGCTTAGACAACAGTCATTCTGGCCCTCAGGCTCGGCTCACCCACAGCACCCGTCTGAAGGGGGTGGAGTGTTCCTGGTGGTCGCCCTGGAAGGGCATCAGTCTGCCCACGCCCAGCCTCACGGGGATCTTAGTTGCACACACACACGTGGGGCCTGAGCACAGGCCCTCTTGGGTGTTGACATATCTCCTCCACCGCCATCTGCTGCCACCTTCTTCCCAGGCCACAGGGCCCGGAGCAGCTGTAGAGCGGTGTGTGGCGCAGGGGCAAGCGAGCCAGCGCCGAGCAGGGCCTGGAGTCGCCAGGCTGGGGGCCTGACTGCTTTTGTGTTCTTCGCACAGGCCAGCAGAGCCAGCCGCAGAGCAGCCAGCCCGACTACAGCAAGGCCTGGGAAGACTATTACAAAAAACAGAGTGAGTGCAATGGCCGTCCCAACAACCAGGTCCCCAGCCAGAGCCCCTCGCCTGTAGCCTTCACTGCGCATGGTTCCCTGGCCCCGTCTGGCCCTCTGCGTCTCACGGAGGAGACGTGGTGTAGCCATTTGCTTTCCCCTCCGCCCCCATTTTCCTCCCCCTTCTGAACTCCAAAGGGCATGGCACCGCCACTGGGGGACCCGGGACCGCTGTCTTGGTCCCTTTTAGAGCTGCGTGGCCAGGACGCAGACCAGCCATCTCTTGTTCCCTGGCTGTCTTGCCGTCGCCTGGCTCTTTCTGGCTCTGTCAGGGCAGGTGAAGAGAAGAGAATGGTGGGACTCGGGGAAGGGAGCCTACAGTTGGAGTGGGTGGTGAGATGTTTGATTTTCTGAAGACACTAAACCAGTCTTTTAAAAAAGAGGAGGGGGAAAACTAGCAACCAAAAACCCCAGCGAAAAATTTCAAACGAGCCCTCAGTCCTCCGTGGGTCTCCCACAGCTGCCGAGCAGGTGGCCGGGCACTGGGGAGGGCTGTCGTGTGGCTGCAGCTGAAGGGCGTTACTGGCTGGTTGGAAGAGCTCAGGCCAAAGGCCATGAAAGAAACAGTCACCTGGTGGTGGAGTCATCACTGGGCCAGGGAGGCCATCATCACCTGAGGTACCTGGTGAAAGTCCAGGTGCCCGCCTCCCCCACACCTCCCAAATCCAGGCTCCCAGACACAGGGGCCAGGCACCCCTCCTCCCTCTCTCTCTCCCTGGGCGCCTATGAGTCAGGTGACCTACGCAGAGAATGTGATTCTGAAGAGACAGCGGGGAAAGTCTCGCAGGGATGGAGCAGGAGCGGCAGGGAAAAGCTAACCGTGTTTTTTGCAGCCAGCACTCAGGCCCCGCCTCACGGACCCCAGTGGGCACTAGTTCTGGATGCCCAGGTCTTCAGGAAGCGTCTCCAAGCGTCCTTCACGTCCCCTAGCACATCCCGCCTGACGAGCTGTTTCCCTCTGTCCCTCAGGTCATGCTGCCAGCGCCGCTCCTCAGGCCAGCTCCCCGCCGGACTACACCATGGCCTGGGCGGAGTATTACAGACAGCAGGTTGCTTTCTACGGCCAGACGTTAGGGCAAGCTCAGGCCCACAGCCAGGTGTGTAGCCAGTGCCAGCACTGCTGGGACCTCCCAGACCAGCCCTCCCTCCCGCCCTTTCTCCCAGGCGTCTGTGCCTGCTCCTGGGGCAAGAACACCGGCTCCAGGAGGGGGGTGGGGGGGCGGGGCAGCACAGGCCCAGTGCTGCTCAGAGCCCAGCGGCCCGCCCGGCCCCTTCTTGCCCCAGAGAGTTAAGTGTGGGCCAAGTGGGAGAGGAACGGGCTGGGCAGTCCCTCCAAGACAGTACCTGATCCTCCCTCAGATCCAGGCCCCAGACCACAGTGCTGAGTGGCCTCAGTTTCCCCAGCTGTGAGTGAGAGCACCGGGCTCGAATGATTCTGGACAAGCTTGGCACTGCAGGCAGGGACTGGAGCTCACGCCCACTGCTGCTCTTGGGGGTGCTGGGCCAGGCTGTTGCCCTTGCCTCGTCAGCAGCGAGGGGGCGGGGGCAGGGCCAGGCCACACCCTCGGAAGGCTGGGCGGGGCAGAGCGCCAGCTCTTCGTCCTGCACAGAAAGCTGGAGGGCTCTGTCCAGTCAGAGGCCAAAACAGATTTCCTTCTGACGGAGGGAAGAGGGCCAAGAGCTCCCGCGGGGCGTGTTTCAGCTCACCTGATGCCGCTCGGATCGCCATGGGCGGCACGGCACTTACCAGAAGCCCGGGCCTAAAGCTGACTGGCCATCTCACTGCCAAATGGGCCCTTTTGTGCCTGGCGCAGTGGGAACAGGTGTCCAGGCTGGTGGGTGACCAAGAAGTATCGCGAGCTCACTCCGCTCTCCCCTTCCCAGTGTCCCCCACAGAAAGAGATGCCCGGGGCCTCCTTCAAGGGAGGCTCTTTCTGGGCCAGAGACCTGGCGGGGAGGCGGGGAGGTGCTGAGACACTGGCTGCTTCCTGTGTGTCAGCGCCTGCGATGGAGCCCAGGAGAGAGGGTGACCTGCCACCTCCCACCAGCAAGCCCTTGGGCGCTGGCCACAGGCTGACCTCTCCCTTCCTTCCACAGGAGCAGTAGGACGGCGACCTGTGACCCCTCCCCGAAATCATTGTGAGCGAAAGCCTATTTGTAACAGAGGTTTTTAGATTTTCAAACCTTTTGATGAAGAACCTTTGTTCTGTGAAACACTATATTTAGATTAACAGAATTTTTCTAAAAATCGGGAAATTAGTTACTAAAGACTGTTGATTATTCTTATTTCAATACTTTCGTTACTTCAAATGTGGAAGCTCTGGGATTTTTTTTGGAGCAATATCTGCAAATCCAGGCACCAGAATGTGCCTCATAGCAGTGACATTTCAACTGGTGTGTTCTTGTTCGTTTTGTTTTGTTTTTTTTTGTTTCGTGTCTTTTTATTTACAGTTGTTTCTGTTGCAACAGAAAGTGGCTTGGAAGTCTTAGGAGGTGTGTAACAAATTATTTTTAAAAAATTTTAAACAGTATTTAAATGTGTAAATTCATTAAATGTTTTACTTCTAATTTCTTGTATCTTGGCTGTCTGGTTTTGCATTTTTTTTAAAACTGAACTATTCTGTATTGTAATTATGTGAATTCTGAATTGAGACAGAGAATTGTATTGCTGTCCAAAGGGATCGGGAAGGGCATTTGTAGGGTTTGTATAATTTCTAGAGTTCTAAAGGGTAATATAAAAATGTTTTCGTGTGTCTAGCATACTTTTTTTTTCATGTCTCATTACCAGTTGCAATTGTGTATCTAAGACCTCCAAGCTTGTTTTAAAAACAAAACAAAAAACCTTTCTCTATTCTCTCAGAAATATAAATCCTGTTATTTTTAATATTAAGAGGAAGTTGATATAACTTTTAACAAACACTGCGGTACATTAAACCGCATAAAAATGTAGTAACTATTTTTTAATTCCGAGGCATTTTTTGCTTTTCTCTTAAATATTTTTTAATATTTGTCAAATTAACTAGATGAATAAATAAATCTAGTATTAACCACAATATGAATTAAATGATTTTGATTTAATAAAAGGGATATTATGATTTCCAATGTTTACGTTAGTGTGTCTTGTACAGATAACATGTATTTTTAAAGGAAAGAAAAACGGAATTAAAGCTATTTTTTCTTGCATTTTTAATTGACCTGGGGGACATTCCGTTTGAAATGTACTGAAGTTAACCTTTCGGTTTTTTGTCTTTATTTTCTTTAAAATGCTTGAAATGTCTAACTATTAAAAATAAATATTTGAAGAATGTTATGCATGTTTTTAAAAAGAAAAGTGTTCTTTTTATTTGACTGACAATTCATTTTACACTCTATGTAATAAAATTTCCACAAGACATCTTGTGGGTGAAATATTTTGAGTCTGTTTGCCTTCCATTCTCTTGTCCCACCCTCCACCCTCAGCCCGCTGCCCACTGAAATAAAAGCAAGAGTTCATAGCCGATCCCCTTGCTCTACGTCAGCCCCACTTGGTGCACAACCTAGATTCCCAGCTACTTCCTTCGTTAAGTTCTTTCTAATGATTTTGTAGAATTTGACAGTTTGCCTTGAGAGCGTGGGTCACCATCAGTCCCTCCCTCTTTCTTACCTGTCACATCTAAACATCTCTTGCCCTGGGTGCAACACAGAAATCAATCGCGGCTCCTCCCAGAGGCGCTGTCATTGGGCGTGCAGCTGGAAGATTCATTTAAGGGAGTCTCGGTAAAGAGGCGTGGTCAGCTCTGCCGCTGGGTAAGCACACTTTCCAGTAACTGAGTCAGCACCGCGCCCCTCACCCCTCAGCACGCTCCCCCAGCACCCCTGAGAAACGGGCTGCTCACTTGGGCAGCTCATGCACTAAAATTGGAATGAGAAATATGGAGATTAGCATGGCCCTGCGCCAGGGCGTCATGCAGACGCATGACGTGTTTCCTATTTGAAAAGTAAATAAATTGGGCCCTGACCGGTTTGCTCAGTGGATAGAGCGTCGGCTTACGGACTAAAGGGTCCTGGGTTCGATTCCAGTCAAGGGCATGTACCTTGGTTGCGGGCACATCCCCACTGGGGGGTTGTGCAGGAGGCCGCTGATCGAAGTTTCTCTCTCATCGATGTTTCAAACTCTATCCCTCTCCCTTCCTCTCTGTAAAAAATCAATAAAATATATATATTTTTTTTTAAAAGTAAATAAATTAGGACCAAACTGGTCTTGGCCTGGTGGGTTGGCTGCTGCCTTCCATGGTGGCCAGGTACCTGCTTTGGCTGCAGCTGCCTGTGACCCACTCCCTCCCTGCCCCACCGCTCGGCCTCTGGCTGTATCCTGGGTGGCATTTGTTCACAGCCCCGGCCTGCTGCGGGCCACGGTGCTGGGAGAGCTGGGAAGGTGCTCATTCTGTTTTTTCAATAAGGAAACAAAAAGGGGGTGTCCTTACCCATGGTTTAAATTCTAGAGGGGCCTGCGGTTTCAGGACACATTATGACAATGTGGGCCCTGGGCTAGGATACTGAGGAATAAAGATCGGCCTTCAGCTCTTTTTTCCCTCCTTCCTTCCCTGTTGATGGAAGCAACTGGCTTTGGACCCAGCTCCCTGCTTTAATATTTGAACACGCCTGCCTCTGCCGCTGGCTGCATGCGTGCGTCATCCCTTCATTTAGATGCACTCGTGTGGGTCCTCCTTATGGCTCATACTCGTGTGTGTTTCCAATTCTGGTTCTTTTTCTTTTCTCGACCCCAAGCTCTAAGAGGAGGGGGAAAAGCATCTGTGGCTCCTTTAGGCCCAAAAGGGGTGTGGAGAGCAGCCCATCTGCAGCCATTCTGAGGCCTGTGAGAGCCGGAAAACAAAAAGGAGATAGGGCGTCTTTAGCTACACCTCTAGAGAATCGAGTTTGACGTTGAGAAATTGAATAGTAAAAGCCACTTGAGAAGAAGGAGGGGGTTGAGCCAGAGGAGGGCATAAACGCTGATGATGGGGGTGGGAATTAGGGAGAGGGCATTACAGAGAAGACTTCCTTCTAATTCATCTTCCAAGCTCTGTGCCAAAACAGCATTTGGCATGGTTCTCAGGGAGCGATTGTGTGATAATGAACCCTAAGGTGTCCCTTAATTGAAGACTGAGCATTGCGGTTTGTGCCAAGAGTCATAAATGGTGCAGGCTTGCGGGAGGATGCATTTTCTTAAATGTATCGGTAAGTACAGATTAGCGCTTGTCCCTAGTGAAATGCCCATACTATAAATTATGGAGATCTCTCTCTCTCTCTCTCTCTCTGATGCAACCTTTTATTGAGGGGGAAGGCGGGGTGTAATACAGCAGGAGGCAGGGGGGGAAAGTTTGCAAGCGTATGAAATTTGGCCTCTCATTAACATGGCGCCCACGGAAGATGGTTTTCATCAGCAGTCTGGTGTCCTGGAAGGCTAAAGTGCTTGAAATGTACCAAGTTCAGCGATTGTGTTCCATTAGGAAAGCTGCATGGTCATCACGGAAAGGACAGTCTGTGTTTGGGAGGCAGGGGCGGGGCAGGTGCCCAGTCTGTCTTCCGAGTTCTTGCCCCACCTCCCACGCTCCACCGCACATGCACACTTGGTCGCTGCCAGCTGCCCAAGTTCACTAGTCCAGGGCCCAGCTGTGCTGTTTCAAACCCACTCGAGTTTGGGCCAGGGGTAGGGAGTTTTCCAGCCAATGTGCCTCCATCAGTCCCCCTGGCCTGTCACGAGATAGGAGGCACTTGTCCCTCTCAAATGGTGACCATCCACGATGTCCTGCAGCCCCATGGTAGGGTTGGCTGGGGCACAGATGGCACATTGCAGGGCCCGGTCCAAGAGGGCATGGGGACACCATGGACTCCGCTTCCAGCTGGCTTCAGCGTGCAGCTTCCTGAGCCCCACTTCTGGCCCACGAGGGCCCAGCTGGGGTTTTGTAAGAGGGGCTAATGCAAATGGTCCTGATAGACTCTTAGAGATTAATGGCCAGAAAGTGACACTCAATTCCGCAGAGAGTGCTGGCCCCGGGTCTGCGTCTCGTGCGGGGTGGAAAGGGAAGTGAAGAGGAACCACTGAGACAATGGGAGTCCTTGCGGGCCTCTGTGAGGAAGCATCTACCAGGGGCGTTCTGGCCCTTTCCAGGCCTCTCCTTTGATTGGGGGGGGGGGGGGGGGCGCTCTCCACACCTTGGGAGGCAGACGGGCCTATTCTCCTCCTCTTACAAATGAGGGTTCAGAGTCAGAAGCTAAGTGGGTGGGGGCGAGTTTTGTGCCAAGTTCTGTGCTGCACTTTGGGGTTTCCATCGAGAGCAGAAGGAGGTTGACAGGAAGTGAAGTAGTTGACAGGACGGAGAAACGGCTCTGAAAAGTTAATGCTACGTGCTCTTGACTTAGACCAGCGGTTCTCAACCTGTGGGTCGCGACCCCTTTGGCGGTCGAACGACCCCTTTCACAGGGGTCGCCTGAGACCATCCTGCAGATCAGATATTTACGTGACGAGTCATCACAGTAGCAACATGCCAGTTACGAAGTAGCAACAAAAATAATTCTATGGTTGGGTCACCACATGAGGAACTGTATTTAAAGGGCCAGAAGGTTGAGAACCACTGACTTAGACTAACATGAGGAGGGCTGCCAACTTGGAACTTCAGTTCAACTCTCTTACGTTCCTCCAGTTTTTCTTTTTCTTTTTTTCCCCTCCAGCTTTTAAACAGAAATCCTGAGTTATGCCATCACCTAAGGTCACCCCCACTTCACTACACATTAGTAATGCACACATATTTCTGAGTGCCTGCTGCTTAAACACGCCTGTCACATACTACAACGGCTGAAGCATCAGCTTACACACTTCAAATGGACTTCAAATGAGGAAGCAAACAATGGAAATGTGAACAATGTGGCAAAGGGTCCTCAACAGTAACAAACAGCGAGTACCCACGGTAAACAGTATCTCATAAACCATCTGGTGAGCTGGGGCATCAAGAGAGTATCACCCCAGGTCTCGGTTTGATGGACGGGGCACTTCTATCAAAACCTGTCTTCTTAAAGGGCCTGAACACAACACATCTCTTGCAGGCTCCCCAGTGCCTGGCGCATTCACTTTAAGTCTTTTCTTTGCTGATACCCATTTTCTTCTGACGTTTTCATCTGTGGGGAACCATTAGCAGCGAAGGCAGTGACTAACGATAACAAAGCTTTCAACTCCCTTCGCTTCCACCACGTGGCCCCCAGGACCGGAAATCCGGCTGCCCCGAGTCACGTGAGGAGATATTGGCTCTGGTGGCAGCTGCGAGCCTGGGAGGGTGTGCTGAGGCAGCACCGCTTCTCTGGGCGGAGTTTTCCTCCTGGGAGAGGGGCCCACAGGCTGTGAGGAAAGGGGGAGGAGATGGAGGCCTCCTCGAGGGCAGACGGAATGAGAGAGGCTGTCTCCTGCAGGTGAAGACTTCACGGGGCCTCCGCCAGGCATTACCTCCCGCACATGCAAATCCGCCTACACCCCGAAACCAAAACTCACCGCACCTCTGCGGACGTTCACAGCACATTTGAGTTGCCTGATGCGCGAGTTCCTCCGGAGGCGAGCGAGACAGCCCTCCCTGCCTTCTGGTTTCCCCGCGCACGCTGTGCTGTCCGCAGGTGACCTCGTCGCCCAGAGCCTCGCTTTCGCCGTTTTTACACTTTCTGTTGCTGACTTCGCTGTTGAAAATGGCCCCAGCACAGTGCTGTCGCTGTCCCTAAGCGCAAGAAGGCTGTGACAGCCTGAGGGGGAGATGCACGTGTGAGCTAAGCTCTGTTCTGCCAGCATCCATCTCGCCCTTGCCATGAATTCAGTGTCAGTGAATGGACAACACGCATTCAACAGGGTGTCTGTAAGTACAAGCGCAGGTAGGCAATGTCATCGCTCTGTGTCGATTGGTTCATGAAGATGTTGCGACCACAGCTGGAAGGAGCGCACCCGGTGTTCCCCGCGGAGCGATGATGGTCCAGGTTCAGGTTCACAGGGACTTGGTGGAACACAGCTACCACCGACAGCACGAGTCGACCATGTTTTGCTTTCCTCTGAGGGCCCACGACTCTTGAGACCCATTTTAGCTTTGAAGAGGTTGTTGCCAGCGTCATGCCAGGACTCTGTAGCCAGGGCTCAGGCCTCAGGCTGCCCACTTTTCCTGTGCGAGGGACACCTGGCTTGGTTATGGAGGGACCCAGCGGGCCAGCCCACCTGGGCAGCAGAGCGGGAGGAACAAACGTTCGGACACACAGGCTTGGGTTTGAGTCCTGTCTTCACCCCTCAACAGCTGTGTG